AAATAGACTTTTTTTTTTTTAATATATATATAACCATCTATATATATATTCGTCGTTTGCTCTGAGAGCAATCAACGTTAAAAATTTTATATAAACTTTTTTCAACCTCTATTCGTCTTTATAAATAAAGCCAGACTTTTGTTGCGCACAAAAAAATTTATTTGTCCCAACTAGTCTTTTTCTTTTTTTTTTTCTCTTTATTATCTTTTTTTTTTGTTTATCATAGGACAGTGAAATATATATTAGAAACAGAAACAACTACTTTCTTTTGTTAAAAGAAAGACAAACCTACTAAGCTTAAAGGAAATATACACAGTAAGTTCTTCCCAAAAATAGCCTTTCCACTCTTGGTAGTTGATACTTTAACTTTCCCTTGAGAAATTTACTCGATACGACGTTCTTTTAACTTCCTAATGTATTAATTTCTTTTTAAATTATACATTAATAGCAATATACAACATGAACTCAACTACAACAAATAACCAAGAATATTTCAAACAAGAAGAAAATGCTGCCATGTGGTCGCCTTCATCACCTTCAGACGTATCTTCTCCGTCAAATTCGGTTTCTGACCAAGACTATAACGTTTATCACGTGCCGCGCGGTTATGACGTGCTTTTAGTTCCAATGAAAGTTGAACCAGATGCACTTTCGGATAGTACCTGTTCTCCTATTACCGATTCTCCTGTTGAATCTCCCGTAGAACCAACTTCAAGTTCTAAAACCAAACCAATGGATATTCCAAAGAGTAAATCACCTAGTTCCACTAACGCAAAAGCATCAGCCGCAGCCGCAGCCGCAACCGCCACGACAACCACGCGTCTTTCCGCCTATCGGAAGCGCAAAGCTGATAAAAATTATATTCCACGACCAAAAAATTGTTTCATGGCCTATCGTGAACATATAAAAGAAAAGTTTTTGTCGGAAGACCCTGGTATGAATAATAAGGTTGTGTCAGTGCTTGCTGCAAATATGTGGAATAATGAACCTGAAGATGTTAAAGAATATTGGCGAGAACGTGCCAAGCAATTGAAACTTGAACATAAACTCAAATATCCTGATTACAAGTTCAAACCACAAAAGAAGAAACAAAACTTGAAGACAACCGCTAATCCAAAGACTTCAACAAAGGCAACAGGTGCACGTAATAACAATAAGAAATCAAATTCTGACACGAAGATCATATTTGCCGATGGCTATGGTTCTGAAATTTTGGGTGAAAATAATCATCAAATAGGTTTGGAAGGTTGTGAAGAGCAGGATGACATCTACTTGACTCATTTACAGAAAAAGACCCTTTTTGGACATTATCGCGCCTCTTCCGTAGATTCTGTCAGTTCTTGGACAAGTGATTCCACAGCTTCTACACCATTGCTCTCACCTTTTGTAGGCTCCCCCGCTTCTTTGTCACCTCCAACCTTTCAATTTGGCAATCAATTCGGAAGATCATCATCAGCCTTGAGATATGAAGCAGGAAACATTGTGCATAATGAAGGTCCATCACATAGCGACTTGATGTTGTCTCATAATATGACCTCTCAATCAATGTTGAATGAAGTTGAACAGCTTAATAGTTTATATTCAAATCAATTGGATATAAATGCTTCTTTACCTGTTGACGACGGGTTCGTTCTTGATTCGTATGAAACTCCCATGATAAAGACCAGTACAGCTGTTCCTTCATTTTTCAATTCTCCTCAGTCAGGTGAAATCTCCTCCACTGATTATGATCTAATGGCAATGGGTCATTACACAGCTTCTCCCGTTCAAGAACAAGGAGAATTTTTCCATGATTATGAAAATTCCGAACCTTCCTATCCTAGTCACGTTTATAGTTCATCATTTGAGCTTTCTTCACAAGGAAATCAATCAACTTTATCTGGACATTACGCGTATGCTCTCGGGAATCCGCGTCGTAATTCTCATCAACTTTTGGCTGACTTTCAACATGGGCTCAAACAGCAAGAAATGATGTTGCAAGGGTTATTAATGGAATGATTTTCCTTTTTTTTGTACGTGAGAGGAACCTATTCAAAATACTTTATTATATATTTATTTTTATTTTTTTTAAAAAAATATTATATATATATTTTAACGGAGTTTTCAAAAGACTAGTCTGGTATTGCTCTTGTAAACTAAAGAAATTAAAACCGAAATATCGTGCGGGTCGAAGAATTTCGGCCTTGACCTTTGAAAAAGGTCCTTGGACACTTGAACAAAAAGCATTTCTTCTCTAAGCTTCTTTTTTTTCTGTTTATTATATATTCCTTGTATTATTTAACTATTTTACCTTCCTCTCTACCCAATATATATATTCTCTTTCATTGTGTTTATAATCAACATTCTTCTTATATATATATATATATACATAGAACATCTGCATTTATTTTTCTTATAGACTTAAATATCATAGAGTTTCGAGTTCCAAACAAACGAAGTGTAAGTATCATTTAGAAATGACGGACATTTCTTTGTCGATGTTTACTGTTCTTTGTTATCTCGGACAACATAGACTGCCAACTTTGTAAATTTTTTTCTTCCATTTTCTCTTGTTTAAATAGACCGGCAGATAGCAAACACTTTATCGAAAGAACACAACTGTTCCGAGATAAAAGCGTTTGTTGTACATTTTTTTTCTTTTTACATATTTTTTCACTCTTCCTCAATTTTCTTGTCTTATTTTCTTTCTCTTTGCATTTCCTTTTACCATTATAAACGAATTCTTCCTAAAAAAAAAAAAAAAAAAAAAAAAAAAAATATATATCGATTTATCACCCAATATTTCATCATTATATCCTATATATATATATATATATACCACATTTTCTAACGACATATCCCTCTACCTTTTTTTTCAAAAAAAAAAAAAAAAATTTCCAAAAAAAACCGCTCATAATATTATATATCCTTTTATCAAATTATATATTTAGTTTTTTTTATTCTTTTTAACCTTGTTTTACGTTGCTATGATTCCTTTTTAACCGATTTTTATTGTATACAACACAGTTAAGAGCTCAATGAGTCATGTATCATCTCTTAATGATTAAAAATGAAGTCCTTTTTTTCATTTACCCTTTTTAGTTCTCTTTGGAGGTTAGCAAAAAAATTGTGGTCATCGTTAAAAATTATCTTGGTTTGTTTTCTTTACGAAAAGATTGGTCTCGAAAATTATTAAATTAACTTCTTTGTAATTTTTTTTCACCTTTGAGGTTCATATATATACTTTTTATTCAGTTGAGATTCTCTTTTCTTTTGTTTATATATTTTTTTTTCCTTCTTTTTCTTTTATTTTTATCTGATTTTTTACGGGTTTTTCGGTTCCTTTACTTTTAGTTAACAAAAAAAAATTTTTTTTTACTTCTTTGTCTGGCAAATAGTTTTTTTCTCTTTTTTTTTAAAAAAAAACCAAAAATAAAAAAAAATTAAGTTTCAGGAAAAATTTTTTTCCTTTATAAAAAAACAATGTTTGGCGTTTTATGATTATTATTATATATTTGGTAAAATGTGGGGTAAGGAATAGGAAATGCGTAATTACGTGATGGTAGATCCAAAAATGTATTTATATAATATATAATTTTTTTAATGCAATGCATTAAAGATTCTTTTGATTTTCGCATCTCGAAGGAAATTAATTACCTTTGGTGCAAAAAGTTCTGGCTCGTGTGATCGTAACAGGTTCTGAACAAAAAAAAAATAAATAAAAGAAATTAATTAATTTAATGAATGAATGATCTATTTGGGATTTTCCTAAATTAAGGTAATCGTGTATGAACTTTCACTGCATGATTGTTTTTTTAAAAAGGTGGTGGGGAGATTAATTTGGTTTCTTTTTTTATTTTTTTCTATTTCTTTTTAAAAAATAATTTAAAATTAATATATATATACATAATATACATACATACATACATATTTGGTTTTGAACTCGTTTTTTTTTTTCGCGACTGACGAATTTTTATTTTTTGATAAAATAAAGTTTCTGCGCCATGAATTATGTTGAACAAAAAAAAAAATAAACTGAAAAAAGGATGACCCCTCATTTTTATTTGAAAAGGAGTGATAAATAAGAAAAAGGAGACGCGCGTGATGAATAATGATCTCATCCTCTCTCTTTCTGTTCTTTCTGTTCTTATTTGCATGGGTGCATTTCATCATCATCATCATCATCATCAAAAATGATTTAAAAATAACCTCAAATATATAAAACTATAAAGATTAATATAGATAATAATATAAAAAAAAAAAAATCTTTTTTGTTTTCAGGAGAAAGAAATTGTTTCAAATTTCAATACTTACCAAAAAGGAACAAACATTAATCATATATAATTGTTAATTGTGTTGTACATAAGTTTCATACATTACAATTATCTGTAATCTTGAAATTAACGAACTTTGGTTTCATTGAAAAAATGGCAAATTGACAATCTATATATCAATGCAAAAGGTAAATCAGAAAAGAATGATAAACTACATGCATTTAATAATTATACAAATAATGTCATTTTTTATTATGAAATGTTTTTATGAACATACTTTCGTACATAATAACACATGCCAACTTTTTATCAATCATTAATTTAACAATAGAAATAAAAGATCACGATATTAATTTTTAAAGCAAGGTATTCTTAGCAAAATGAGCTCATTTTATTTACACGGATATTTTGAGTTGAGTAAAAGAAAAATGAAAGGAAGAAATTTCAAATAAATGTTATATAAAATGTATATATATATAAAAAATATAGATTATTAAAGCCTGATAAAAATATATATATAAAATTATTGAATAGACTTTAAAACTTGTGAGAAAATAGAAGCGTTATTAAAGTAAGATAATATTATAGCATATTCCTTCCAACCAATGTCATTCATGAATAACGGGTAAAATAGATTATCATACGAAAGAAAAGAGAAAAAAAAAAGAGAAAAAAAAATATTTCTCATTCATTCAATTAAAAAAGTTCACCAGAGTAAAAAAAGTCTAAAAAAAAAAAGAAATAGATTTAAGAAGATGCAGCTGCCCTCCTTCTGGTTCCAGTTTTCTTTTCCGCAGCTTTCTTGGTTGTGGAGGCTTTGGTCCTCTTCGAAGTGGTGGTCGCAGCTTTCTTTGGTTTGGCTGCCGCCTTTCTAGTTGAAGCGGTAACTGCTGCCTTTCTAACTGGTGCTTTTCTGGTAGTTTTCTATATATAAAAAAAAAAAAAAAAAAAAGTAATAAAACGAGATAGTTAGTAAGATATTTATCTCAACAGATTTAAATCATAATCTTCTAACAAATAAATATAAATTTGTAATTACTTTGACTACTTTTTCAACTTTTGGTTTGGTTTCTTTCTTTTCAACTTTCTTGGGTTTTTCCTTCTTCTCGGGTTCTTTCTTTTCCTTCTTAACTGGTTCTTTCTTTACGAGTTTAAGAGTACCACTTGGACCTTATAATATTTATTTTTTTAAAAAAATAAAAAATGAATCATTCGTTAATGTAAAAATTAAATTAAAAAAAAAAGCAATCAATCAATAATATTATATTATATTTACCATTGGGAAAAGAGAAAACTCCTTTTTCAACACCTTTGTTGATGGCCAATCGGAGACGGTTGTTTGTTATGTTGTTGTCAGGAAGTTTGTATGTGGTCAAGATGTATTTCTTGATGGCTTGACGGCTTTTTATTAAAAATGCAAAAATTATGTGAAAATTTATAAGTAAAAGAAAAAAGAAAAAAAAACGCGTCGCAAATTAAGCCCATGATGCATGAATAACTCTAGAAGTTCTCAAACCTGCTTCCTTTACGTTCTTTCAAAGCAACGATTGCGTCTGTAAATTATTAACATAGTGTGGGAAAATTGCAAAATTGTAAAATTATTAAAAGTTTCTTGAGGTTATATTATTATTTTATCTATTTTTTTGTTTTTACTCGTCAAGAGAAACACATTTAAAAGTGTTTCCTCGGTTCTTCTTTCTGAAACTAACAAAAAAACAACAAAAAATAAAATAAAATAAAATAAAGGGACAGTTTCAAAAAGCTACCTCGAATCATGTCTTCATATTTGGGATGAGCGGGAGCGCTTGCTAACTTCTTACTTTTAGCGGAACTTGAGCTACCTTTTGCCATTGTTTTTTTTTGTTAAAGTGAAAAAAGAAGAAAAGGGTAAATTTTTCAAAAGATATTTTCTTTTAGAGAAATTTTTGGGATGTGAAAAAAATGGAGAAAAAGTTAGGAACGCCTCAAGTGGGGCGCTGTTTATATGTGCTAATCTTCAATAAGTAGCGTGATTTAATCAGGTGCGCGTATTTGGGCGTATACGATACTTTTATGGAAATCATTGTAATACAATCAAATTGTTTGTTATGAAAGTTAAATTGTTTTTTGTCAATACGTGTCACATCGCGCCTCAATCATCACATCGCGTCAAGATCTATTTTTAACAAACGTTATTAATTAAAAACATCAAACACGGTCCTTTTTTTACGTAAAGTTTTTGTTATTTGTGGTCTTTGTACAACCCTTTAAATGTTTTAGGGGGAAACTATTTTGAAAAGCTCTCGGGGGTTTCGGTAGGCTGGCGAAATGGTTTCGGAAACCCAGACGATTTCGTTCGAAACTTGGACTCTTTTGTCTAGATATTTACAAACTTATCTATTAAAAGTTGATGCGAGAAACCGACCAATTGAAAATTAACAATTGAATATTAGAAAGGAATATATCATCATTGTATCATTATTCAAGGATACGACATCAAGTTTAGAGTCGTCGTCATAAGCATAGTTCAATTTCCCAATGCAAATATAATTAATTACATCAAAACACAAATACTATGAGTTGATTCGCGTGACTTTATTTTTTAAATTTTCGCGACATACGAGTCACAACTTATCCACGTGACTTTTGTTGAACACGTGATTTAAACGTAGTTTATGTAAATGTTCGAATTCCGAATTCTGAATTCCCGAGGTAAAAATAAGCTATGAATTATGTATACATTACATTTATTTTAATTCCTTTTTATTTAAAAAAAAAATTTCTTTTCAGCAGATTCTGAATGAGTATCGAGACAACTTCATTCGGCACGTCACGTGGGCAATTAAATTTTTCGAAGCATTAGTCATTGTTAATAAATTATTAATTAATTAAAAAGAGTTTTTCTTTTTTATTATTGAGCCAATATCTTGGTTTTCCAAAATTTTCATTTTTCGTTCAAAAGGTTAAATTTTTTTATAAGTCAAATGTGTACACAACAACCCAATAAGCAAAAAAAAAAGATGATCGTCATATTTGTATCAAGTTGAAATGATATCGAACCTTTGAATTGCAAGGGAAAAAAAAAAAAAAATAATTTAAAGGAAGGGAATGAAAATGATAATAAAAAAAGACTAAAGATACAAATTATCATTTAAGGACAAGGCCAAAAATGATATGATGTTCATTAAAAGTGAACGGTTCTAAATAAAATAATAATAATAGTAATGTAGTAATATAGTAAAGGGATACACCGAGAAGAAAATATAAGATGATTTCATCATCTTATCCATTCTTTCTGGTGAAATGATACAAGAAATCGATATGCGGATATAATATATATAGAAATGAAAAAGGATTTCTCTTTTTTATATAATTTTTTGGGGGTGTTTATATAGTATATATTTATTAATTTTTTACATAACCACACAACAACAACCACCATTTTCATCTGTTCCATCGGTAAATTCGTTATTTCCTGGTCCATTCGTAGGTCGGTTCCCATATTGTTGTTCTTTGTTGTATCGTCGAATTTCACGAACAAGGTTATAAAAGGCTTCGTCAACATTAATACGTTGTTTGGCAGATGTTTCAATGAACCTACAACCGAACGTTTTTGCGAGTTCCCGACCCTCTGTTTTAAAACATTAAAATTGAATTGAAATATATTTAAAAAAGATTTCAACTTACAATAAAATAAAAATAGTAATAATTAAATTATATTACATACCAGGTCCTGAAACTTGTCGTTCCATCTCTAAATCACATTTGTTACCGACTACAATTACAGGGAAATAATCCTTGTCTTTTACCCGGAGGATTTGTTGATGAAATGTTGAAATTTCCTCAAATGAGTTACGAGATGTCATTGAATATACAAGAAGAAATCCTTCACCAGTACGCATGTATTGCTCCCGCATGGCGCTTAAATTATTAATAAAAATATTTATAAATGTTACTATTTGTAATATGAATCATATATATATATATAAATTTACATACCTGTATTCTTCTTGTCCAGCAGTATCTAATACGTCAAGTAGAGCAACTTCATCATCGATCACACATTGCTTACGGTACGAGTCTATATTTTAAATAATCAAAGTTAAATGTGTTAATATTTGTTAGGATTCATTTACAATTAATTATGTTTAAGATTAAAGCGAATGGTGATGCAATCCACAACCCTATATTGATGGCATCCCTACTTCTACTTCTTTCTAACATTTAACTCATTTTCTTTTTTATTTATATTTTTTATTTTATCTAGTTATTATTATCATAAGATTTTTTATTTTTTCCTTTTTTTGCCTAAAATTTTTACGTCGTTCATCATATCAGAAACAATACCTTCAATGGTAGGATCATATTCGTCAACAAAATGCGATTGAATGAATTGGATTGTAAGAGCAGATTTACCGACACCTGTGTAGCAAAAATAAAAAAAAAGGGGGTATAATCATTAACACAGTAAAATCACAAAAAGGTAAAAGTTATTATAGTTATTATAGTTATTATATTATGGCGAGGAAATACAACAACTTGGAAAGAAAAAGGCTAAATGCTCTTCATCTAACTAGCCGGTGTAACTTCTCTCCGGATTTGAACAATCAACTATAGAAATAGAGCAATGTGAAAGTTAAGGATCTCATTACATACCACCCCCACCTACGACTACGAGTTTATATTCTCTTAAAAACGCAGCCTTGGACATTTTTTAACTAATATGCACGTTTAAATTTTTTTTTATTTTTAGGTATATATTGTAAAAAAGTTATCTATAATCCTTTATACTTGAATAGAATTATATTAAAATTTTAAAAAAATAATATGTTCGAATTAATAGACAAAAGATAGGAAAGGTTTATTCAAAAAAAAAACCCTTAAAAAAATAATTTAAAGTCGGAGTTTGTGAAAAAGGAAAATATTGGTAAAGAATGTGAGAGTAAAGAAAGAGGAAACGTAAGGGCATAGGTTTATGCTTTTGCACAACAGTTCTGTTGCTAAAGTTTTGGGGTCATGCTATCGGGTAAACTTTAGGGAAAGAGGTAACATTCGGATAAAGAATAATAAATCGGCGTAGTATAATCACGTGCCTTTGTTATCCATCTTGGATCAAAGGTGTTTACTGTAACATATGTAACATAACAGAATTTATTTAAAACGCTCACTTGTTTGTATTACAATAATTAAATATTTCTTTTATCATACAAATAAAATTTATATTTTGAATGATGAAAGAAATAATTTGAATGATTGAAATGTCTTTATTATATGGTAACACGGGTTTCAATTAGTTGGTCCGAAAATAATAAAAAATGCCATTATTTTTGTCCTTCAAAGCTCTCGATATGTTTTTACCAATTCTCTTTTACAGGTGAATTCAGGTTAGTTTTCCTAAAATATTCTAGGCCGATTTTCCAAATATTGCAATAACAAAAATATTTTTACATATGCTCGATATGTAGATATGTCTTTTCCTTTTCTTTTTCGTCGTCAATAATTTCCGGTTGTTCCTATATGTTTTCATTGACGTTTGTTATTCGAATTTATTTTATAAGTTAAATAAGTTAAAATTTATTGATGATCAAATTGTATTATGATAATCAAAATCATTATGATATTCATTTTGATAGTCAAAATCATATTATTATAATTAAAATATTTATGGTTAGAATTAGTTAAAAAACCTAATTAGTCCTAATTATTCTTAAATAATTAAAATAAAATAAATCCGATTTTGGTAATTTTTTTAAGATTTTAATATATAATTTTAGTTAAAAATTCAATTTTTTGTTTAAAATTCTATAAATTTTTTTGATATATCTTTTAAAATTAAGATATTGTAAAATTAAAATTAAAAAAAAAAAAAATAAAGGTAAATTAGAAAAATTATTTTGTAATAAAAAAATTTGTAAAAAAAGAAAATTTATTTTTTTTTAAAAAAAAAATTATTATATATAATTATTAATTAAACTTAAATCATAATTATCAAAATTAAAAATCTAATAATAAAAATAATAAATTAGTAAAAGATTTTAAATAATAAACATAAATATTTATTAGTTTGAAATGTAATAAAAAACTATCACTTAAATCATAGGATTTGCAAGCAAATTTGTTTGCTTATTTACTATAAATTCTCTTCTGATTTATTTTTATAAATAATTAATCTTTTTTAAAATTTTTATTTTAAATTAATTTTATAAATATATAATAAATTATAGTAAGTTTTATCTTTTAATTATATATTAAAAAGTTTAAGAT